TGTCTTGATAAAACATACTTCATGGTTAGTATCCAGTGTCTTGATAAAACATACTTCATGGTTAGTATCCAGTGTCTTGATAAAACATACTTCATGGTGAGTATCGAGTGTCTTGATAAAACATACTTCATGGTTAGTATCCAGTGTCTTGATAAAACATACTTCATGGTTAGTATCCAGTGTCTTGATAAAACATACTTCACAGTTAGTATCTAGTGCTTCTCTTAAGATATTCAATTTATAGTAACATATATTATAATATTTATAATTGTTAATCTGTATGGATGTCGCCAGGAACTTTTTATCGGGGGTGGGGGTGGGAGAGTTAATATTTGAAATCAACAGCATGTTTAGGTATAAGTAAGCCGTGAATCAGTAGCAGTTTAATACGTGGGCCATAACAAGGTTCGTATCGGACTGAAATGATATATTGAAAAAAATCATAACACCTAGTTCAGCAGTTTTACTGTGAAAAATTTAATACGACCCTCCTCTCTCCTGGCGGCGTTCATTTTAAGTGTGTTTATTGAATATAACATGAGATATATACCTAACAAAGAGCTTATCGGTGATGGGTTAACGCTCTGAACGACATCTACTGGAACTATAATGAAGAATGATAATCTTCCTTGTACGCTACAAATGGTCACAAAGAGCATTAAATTTAATTATATAACAACGTCTATCAGAGATCTGCTAAAACTTCTACAAGAATAGTTACAATTAATAATTAATAGTCTTAATTTTAAGGAATAGGCATGCTACAAGAAGATTCTATGACTACTGTATCCTATGCCATCAATTGGGTGCTAGCTGTGACTATTGATAAGTTGAACTATCCCTATGTATGTTTTCACATATAAACAATTAAGATAATAAACATTTGTTGATTACTTCATAAGGAATATGTCAAAATGTCCGTTTTGAACTTAAATCGTGTAAACCATTCAAAGACAATCAAACCGGCCATACTTTTCAAATAACAAATTATTTTCCACGCAGGTTGATAAAATCCTTTACTGTCGGTGATGTTTTCAATATCAGCAGATAATATACCCGCAGGTTAGAAAAGTAAAGGTTTTCCAATAGGAGAAAGGACCTCTAACGGCTGGGAACTAAACTAAATATTTTCATATTACAGTCTGTATCTACATTTTAGGGGGTCAGTAAATTTGATTGGTCTCTCATTTCCGTAAACTCTCAACTCCTTTTCTTTTTGTCCCCTCGGTGGGTCAGGGGTAAGTTTCCAGGATTACTGTGCAAAAATTCGGGGTTCGGTTCCTTTGGTGGACAGAGCACATACAATCCATTGTGTAGCTACGCGCTAAAAATTCCAACAACAACTTTTTCTTTATTTTCAATATTATCCACTCTTGTTTATTGTATCTGATCGTTTCAATAATATTGGGCCCGGCCTGGCCAGGTGGTTAGG